AAATTTATATTGAGTTTCAAAAGCTCTAAATGTGTCTAAGAACTAACTAATTCTGATTAAAATGCTCTGGTGAACATTTTCGAAACTTTTTAAACAAACTGCACTGCACGGCTTCGCATAAAAGTTTATTTAATTCGCTAAACAACACGAAGTACGCTCATGCTTTCATACAAAGCTTGCCTTTTCCATATTTTGAAACAAGAAAACAAAGGTCGAAAAAACGCTCATTATCATGCCATTATGAGCTTTTTAGACTTTTTAAAATCTGAACGAATTAGTAAATTTGTAGAAAAATATGCACTGGATTTATAAAACTCTTTTGAAGCTTTCGGAACTTTAAAGAAAGTCTAAAAAATATTGCATAAATTAAGTGCTCTATGAGGTAGTCAATTCTTAAGTTTAACTAACTGAACTTTAACTAACTAAAGCTTAAAAGTTTAACTAAACTCCTTAAGGTTGAACAGTTCCCGTACTGAAGTTTTCCGAGCTTTGGGAGCTCTCGGAGCTTTTTGAAATTTTTTGCAATTATTCAGCACTTCGAAAGCTGATACAATAACTAGTTGGTTGTAGTATCTTCTCTAAAGCTTTTCTCCGTAGGTAAAAGCTCAGGCGAGCAAAATTAAATGCTTACTTAAAATTTCTTGGCATGTAAAACTTATTTCCGTAACCGACGAGATTGTTTGGTCTCAAATTTTTGGACTGAACTCGAGAAAGCTAAACTTTGCTCGTGAAAAAGCTTAATTTGCAAGCTTTTCATTACTTTTCCATCAGCATAAAAAATTAAAAAATAATACAATTCCAAAGTATGAAAGTTTAAGCCACCAGATAAAAAGAAAATAGAAGAAAAGAAAAATAAAAGAAAATGTCCAGCTTTTTTTAATATTATACCATTGATATGTACTGCTCGCACGCATATTTTTCAGTTCAGTTGAATCTATAGCAATAAAGCTTTGTTAAAAAAGTTTAAGACCTTGGCCGAGCTTTTCTGTAGCTTTCGAATTTCTTACGAAGTATATCGAAATCTCATGTGCTTAATTTGGGAAGCTGGATATCTTTCTTGAATGAAAAAGAAGTAAAAAATACATTTTAAAAGTTCTACAGTTCTACAAGTTAAAAGCCTAGCGAAGCTTTTGTAGGGTAATTAACAACTAACTTTGCCACTTACAAAATGCTCAAAGCGTCGCTGTTAACTTTTCTCTTTATAATTTTGAAGACTAGCCCTTTTTGGTAAATTTTCAGAAACTTTCAGTTCTTTCTCTCTTTCACTCTAGCTCTGACGTTTTACTAACAATAAAATAAATGCTTTAAATATATATATATATAATGATACAAATCTTATCCTCGCCACCAGTTTTAGTACCACATTTTATAATGTCAAACTCATTTTTTAATTACATGACTTCATATTGTGTTTGCCATTTCAATAAAGAATAAAAATGTTTTGCAGCTTTTTTTATGTTATTAACTTTTACAACATCATTAACCACATTCATTCAATCGTTCGAATGCCTAGCAGCTGTGTACGAGTGCTACATGTAAGTTTGTATGTGCGCTCGCACATTTGAGAATTACAAATATGGCAACACTGTCACAAACATAAATTAAATATTTCACTTCGATTTCAATTGCCATTGTTGCGATCGTTTATTATTTTTATTATATGTATATTTTTTGTATTAACAGCGGCGGTGCATTGATTGTTGTTAGAGCGAGTTGCAGTAATTTATGCATTAATTAATATAGTTATAATAGCAACAACAACACATATTTATATGCCTGCACATTGACATTCAGTCTGGTAATAAACGCTAATAATTGTCATTTGAATGACGACATAAAAACAATTGTTAATATTACTCACTCACTCCAGTTGTGTGCAACGGTAGCAGCAAAACAATGAAAAAGAGTAAAATGATTATAAATTTTAAATATAGAGATCGTACAACAATAAACATAAAATAGTTGGCGCCCAGTGAGTTAATCATAAAGCATATATGTATGTATATAAATAAATAAACGCAAGGACATATGTACAAATTTAAATATGCGCAAGCTGGTCGTTACCACTGTAAAAAAAAGGTGGGGGGTTATGAAATATGTGGAACCTGGTCTGTTTAGACTTGAAGCGTGTTGTGACTAGCCACTTCGGTTTTAATTAGACTTTATGCCTCAGTTGAAGCGTCTCAATTGTGGGTATTTGGTGTTGCACAATGGGGCAAGACTGGCTAAAATGTATGCACAAAATTTCAAATGTTAATTACAAGTACTCAATTCACTCTTCAGTTTTGTTAAATTTACCTAATCTTTGACATAACATTTTTTTTGTTTTTTTTTGAATTTTTTTTTTATATAATTTTTACGTTTTTCTAGTTTTTACAGAACAAAACTTAAATTATACAAAATTTTATAATTTTTTTGTTTGGTTTTTTCAATATCTATTTGGAAGTAAAAAAAAATCATAATTAAAAATTTGTGTGTTTCCCATATTTCTGACAGTTCTGTAATATTCACTTTTCATAACATTTAAACTTTATTTGTAAACTACATTTTTTCTATAAATATTTTAAAATTTAGAAATTTTTCGTTTTTTAATTACTATTTTTTATTTTTATTTATGTACCATTCTTATATTTAAAAACAACCGTAATTATTATTATTCAGAAACCAGTGGTTTCTTATTTTGATTTTTTTGTTTCATTTTATAGACATTTGAACTTTTTGCGTTTTTAGTTTTTATTCGAAAAAATCGTTTTTAAGTTGGTTAATATACATATGCATATGTATAGTATATTTGAATGCAGTTTCAGGTTTTTAATATCTGTTTTTATTTTCTTTAAAATTATGTACATTTAAATTTAAAAATATTTCAAATTTTTGGACAAATATTTTAGATATCTCTTTATAATGTCTTTCTCCTAAATTCAGGATTTTAAGAGTCTAAATCTAAAATATTAAAATATTTGTATTTTTCTTAATTGTTTCCCCCTTAAATTTCAAACTAGCGTTATATTTTCAAATTTTTTTCAAACTAAAACTTTTTTGTCCAAAAAAATGTTCATCATCTCTGCATTAGCTTTAGTGCTGCTGTAACCACTGCTGATAATCCACACCTACAACTCTCCACTAGTTGACTTGTTCACTCATAAGTACCTACACTGGCGATGAAAACTGAGTGCATGGTGATTTTTGTTAAATAGTCGGAATGTTTTTGAAGTTAGATTTTTTTTTGTTATTTCTTTAAGAAAATTATTTTCACGCTTTAATCAAAACCACATATGTCAAACTTTCAAACTTTATACAGAGCTAAGAAAAATTCAACAATTTTTCATCTACATTTTGAGCTACTTAACCCGAGTTTTTAGAAAAATTTTGGGTAGCGGTACATCGGTTATGTATTTTGGTAAATCGCAATTATTTTTAATGATTTTTTTGCGACGGATTTTGGTTTTTAACCGACTTCCAAGAAAAGAGGAGGTTATCAGTTCGTCGGAATATTTTTATATTCTATTTTTTTTTATTTTTTCTTTTTTTTTCTTTTTTATGTATGTTACTGCATAACTTTGGACCACGTCAACCGATTTCGATAATTCTTTTTGCATTGGAAAGGTAGTATCTCAGAGGTAGTCCCATACTTATGTGGTTAAGATCCGATCAGTGGATCATGAGATAAATATATATTTTTTTTTTATATGAGAGTTGAAGTCGGTTTTTTTTGCTAAAAATTACTTGTTTTCACATAAGTAGTTCAGATTAAAAAGTTCAAAATTTAGATGAAAATTGTTTGAATTTTACTAAGTTCTGTGTAAAGTATGAAAGTTTGACTTATGTGGTTTTGATTAAAGCATATTTTTATTAAAAAAATAACAAAAGAATTTTAACTTTAAAAACATTGCAAATATTTAACAAAAAATCTCCGTGCACTCACATTTGATCGCCAGTGTACATATACATATATATACATATGCATGTACTATACAACTTCCTCTCCCACTCACTCGCGCATCGGCCAGACGAGCAGCAAAATAAATCCAAATACATTTATTTAGTCAGTTAAAATTTTTACGATTTCCACAAAGTCTAAAGCCAACTGCCTAAGTGATTTAGGCAGTGGCCAAATGAATTTGGCATTCAAGTGTTAACATGACTTCTCAAAGCAACAACAAACAACCACATCAACAACTAGTGGCAATTGCATGCAATATTTAATGTGGAATGCAAGAGTATGCCACTTATGATGTTTGTGGTAACACTAAAATCACACACTGAATTTTCGCACATACATACATACATACGTGCATACATACATGCCCTCACATGTGTACGAATGTGCGATTATTTATGGCAGCAACGGTGAATTCAGAATGCACATAACGTCTTGTAGTCTGGCTAAAGATATATCAATTGGTTATAAATAATTGCCAATTCATTGCAGTTGTCAATTGGCATTAGCTAGAAAATATGTTTGGCTGCGCAGAAAAGTATGTAGTTGGTTGTGAGAAAAAATACATAAATATTAAAAGTACACATTTGGCAAGCGAATGTGGAAAATAGTCATAGATAGCGATACTGTTATAATTTATTTCTTTGCAAGAAGTGGGCACTCACAATCAGCTGTCCACTTTATTTAAAGTTATCGTGATATTGAAGTACCTGCCGGAATTGATAGAATTTCAGTGATCTAAGGCGAGAAAAACTTCTGAAATATTTTTTAATTTTTTTATTCTCTAGATTTTTTTTTGTTATACTAAGCAAAGAATATTTTTGTTTTAACTCATCTAAAACTTTTCTAGATAATTGTAAACTGATTTAATTCTGGAAAAAGCTAAGTTTTTTCTACACCAAAAACACTCACCATATTTTTTTTAATTTAATTTTTTTCATTTTCATTATCACTCACTCACTTGCTCTTGTAATTTTTTTATTGAAACAATATTTATTTCTAAAGTGAATAACTCCATACTAATGCGTTTATGTTACTTCTTTTTCTCTCTTCCAAACAGACGATACTCAATTCAATGCATAAATACCAGCCACGTTTCCATTTGGTGCGAGCCAATGATATACTCAAGCTGCCGTATTCGACATTTCGGACGTATGTTTTCAAGGAGACCGAATTTATAGCCGTTACAGCATATCAAAATGAGAAGGTGAGCAAGAGAATATGAGTGAAATTTTTAAGTATTTATAATTTATATATATTATTTATATTTATTTAGAAACAATTTTGGTAAAATACTAAATTTAAAAAAAATTTAAAATAATAATTTTCACGATTAACATTTTGGAAAAACATATTTATAAGCTGAAAAATAAATTTAAAACCTTTTAAATTTAAAAGCAAAAACTTAAAATTTAATAATTTTTACGATTAAAAACTGTAGAAAAAAATGGCTTTTGCACGACTAGATAAAAAAACCAATAAATTTATTTTAAAATTGATTAATATTTTTTTTTTGGGTACAAAAAGTATAAAAAATTTTTACCCTATAACTTTTGCGTATTATTAAGAGAATTGCATAAATATCTGTTTTTTTCTCGATTTCCCAAATTTCTTTTTTCAGAGGTTTAAAAAAATGTATCTTTACATTTATTGGACTAAAGTTAAGCAAAATGACAATTACAAACAAAACTTTATAAAAATGGTAAAAATCATTATAAAATTTCAAAAAAAAAATATTTTATTAAAAAGAATATATGTATTAGATAAAGTTTTTTTCATTATTTAGAGCTTTTTATGGTATTAAAGAACAAAAAATTGGGTTTTTCATTTTACACTAACAATTTTTTCCAGTTTTAAGAAATTTCATAATTATTTCGGGAATAATAATTTTTAGATAGTAAAATTTAAATACCATTATAAAACTTATTTTGAAAATTGTTGTAAAGTTTCAAAGAAATTTGTTCGATAAGTTGATATTAAACAAAAAAGTTTACTTTTATCTTTTTTCATTTTTTATATTTTAGTCGTTTAATATTTAAGTTTATATAATTAAAAATCATATTTTTTAATGATAGCAAGTCATAAAAATATTAAAATTTTTATAATTTTTTTCTCGTTACAAAATTTTATATATCGATATGATATTTTTTTTTAACAGATCAAGCAGAAAATCAAAAATCTAAACTATTACAATTTAAATTTTGCTTGAACTTTCCAAAAAACTGTATGGAAAGTTTTACTGCCGGTTTCACAAAAGCGATTTAAGTGGAAAATGATTTTTTTCTGCAAGTTTCCTTATTAAATTCAAATACAAAAATAATTTTTCACTTAAATTGCTTTCGTGAAACTTTAAAACAGAGATTATTAAAACAATTTTTACTGCAAATAAAAATTTGTAAAACTTGTTTTTTTTAATAAATCGTAAAAAATGTTTCATAACTAGAAAATATATATAACATTTTATATAAAATATATTTTGTAAAAAATTAAAATATTTTTAAGGATTAAAAATTAATAACAAACATTATCTAACCGCTCTCATATCTTATACTATCCTTTTATCTCTTTCACTCTTGCAGATTACTCAATTAAAAATCGATAACAATCCCTTTGCGAAGGGCTTTCGTGATACCGGCGCTGGCAAGCGGGAAAAGAAGTAAGTATCACTAAAGTTTTGTGCAATGAAATACAAAAAAAAAAAATTATCAAAAAGTAAATTCCATTAAAAGTTGAGATGTGCTCAGTTTGCTTAGAACACCTCCCCCTTTTTTTAAGTAGTTCACTGCCTAACTTCGCTGCCGCCTGAATTGCCATTAAATGGGCTGTCAAAGCAATGACATTGCAAGTCGTATGCCTGCCTGCAAGTGTCAGCGTCGAAATGACAAGCGCTTTTGTGCGCTGCTGGCTCTTCATTCCCATCAGCGCGCTTCCGTTCGAACGAGAGTAATATGTATGTATGTATAGCGGTAATTTCAAACAACTGACATTCTCGCGGTTGCGATTTCGGTGAAAGCAAATGCCAACACCAGTCGCACCAATCGCCAGTCACGATGATTGCTCATTTAGCCACCGCGGCGTTGTTTGTCTTCCACGCGGAAGTATTCTTGCCACAGTGCACCAGTTGCCTCCTCCTTACATCGGCCACCGTAGCTTTGCCTTCTCTCCACTGTCGCGCCTGTCAGCCAGCTACTGTAAATGATATATCCAAGTCAATTTCTTAATACCGTCGTTGATATTTATGTGAAAGTGGGCGTTGACTGTTGGCCAACACGGCGAGTTTACTGGCTGCCTGGTTGGATGTCTAGCTGGCTGGTTGGGTTGCTCATGGAATTGGCTGGCTACTTGGCCATGCTGAGCATTTCAGCTTTGTGCTATTTCAGCCACAACTGACAACTTGGCACGCGAAATCTGTGTTTGAGCTTTGAGGCGTTGCCAATGTTTATAGAGTTGTCATTTTTATGTGTGGTGTAACTGAATATCATGACAGTTGACAGTTGGACTACGCCCACAGTGAGATGACAACAGCTTTTTTGCTGTGCTCTGTTCGAATGACAATGAGAGAGCGAGAGAGTTTGGTTGGTGGCGAAAGGGCGAGTAGGAAAAGAAATGTTGAAGGGAAGAGGATGGAACTGAAGCGGGTTAATAAGGAAACAAAACATTTTAAATGGTATGGAATGAGGCGGAATGAAATGAAACGAAATGGAAAAAGGTAAAATTAAATTAAATTGAACTAAGACTTTAATAAAACGGATTGAGATAGATGATACGAATTCAAATTAAATGAAGTAAAATGACTAAAAATGAAATGATATGAAAGGAATGAAATGAAATGAAATGGAATGGAAAAAGTAAAGCGAATCGAAATAAAATTAAACAAACGAAATGAAATGAGATGAAATGTAATCAACGGAAATGAAACGAAGTGGGATGGAACGGAACGGAATGAAATGAAAGTATTAAAGTTGAATGCGAGAAGTGAACTTTAAGGAAATGATATGAGATGAAGTGAAACGAAACGGTATGAAATGGAACGAAATAAAACGAAATGGAACGAAATTAAAAACGTTGGAAATTGTAGAATAGTAGATAGAAAGGCACAGAAATTCGTAACTGGGATGAAATATGTATAATGAAAATCTGCAAATTTAGTTGGAAAAAACATCTACTGGAAGTTTCAGATTTCTAAACCGAGCTTGAAAATTAAGGTTGCCACATTTTATGGATGACTGGCGAAACACTCAGACGGAGCCAGATACCAAAAGGACAACTGGCTTAAGTGACGAACTCGTTTATATGCCAGTGGGGTCTACATACCCAAAACGAACCAGATTTGTATCTGGACAAAGGCGGATCACTCCCCAAACATAAGCCAAAAACTCTTTGAGTTTTTATGATATTGTAACAACAACAACGAACTCTTATGCCGATCTTCTTAAGCTGAATTATTTACATACTAGAGATCTTTTTTAAATCAGTTCTATTTCCAAATTAGTTATCTGAATTTCTTTTGAACAAATTATCTAGTAATAGTTTTCAAACCAGCTGTAGCTTCCAAACTCGTAATCACCGGATCGCTCATTTCTGTTTTGCCATTTTCTTGCGCACTTTTTACTCCACTACACCCTACGCCAATGCACTGGAAAATTCAAAGGCAAATTCCCGAAAAACGGCAACTCAATCACTGAATAGATACCTTCCTGACTGAGTGATTATCTTTGACTGCTTACTTATGTTACTGCAAAATCTGTGATTGACTGACCAGCTCCATAACTGACAGTTAGGCAGCCGTAATGTGTGACGACTTTAACCCACAGCACCATAATAGCCATGCATCCCCTCGCCGATAGTGCTCGCTAACTTCTGCACGCGCGTACATCCTATTATCCTGCTGGACTTAAGTTGCCTGTCATACATTTCACTGCTTCCGTGATTTTGTGATGCTGCTGCGCCTGGCTGCTATCGTAATTTCTACAGCTACAGATTTGTATGTACATTTATTTGCCACCGCGGCATGACGTACGACAGCCAGGCAGCCTGCTCACGTCCGCCCACCGCTCGATGACTTGCTGACATAGCTGCTTCCGACACTGGTAACTTTTCCGTTCTCCCTCGAGTGGCTGAGTTTCAGCTCATGATGCTACCACAAACAAATTTGTCTACTTGTATGCTTGTATTGAGTAGATTTGTGTGCGGGTATTTGAATGTAAGTGGGTGTGTGTGACGGACACAATCAAAAAGTCAAATTTGCAATTGTGCATGTTTGTTGTGGCAGGAAATTAAAATCAATCAATCAACATGGATTTCCGTTTCCTGTCACTGATACGCACAGCATTCCTTCGTCACAGTCAAGGATAATAAGGAGATAGAAAGAGGAGGAGGAAGAAAAAAAATGCGCTGAGCGCTGGTGAAATAATTTTTGTTGTTGTTACAAGGTGGAAATGTTCTACTACGAGCATGAAATGATTGAAAGCTCCTGTTTATTTAAAATCTTATAGAATTCTAGAAACTATAATATGTCTTGCTACTGGATACTTTTTTTGCATAAAAAGGGCAATTAACAAAATTGGAAAATAAATTCCCTGATTATGTAAAAATTAAGGTTCTCTTTCGAAGCAATTTTTACAAACTTTTATGTTTTCGGCAATATCCATTAAACAACACTTAAAATTTGTTTACTTAACAAATTAGAAATTTATATATAGAAATATATTTTATAATATTTTTTTAGAATTTTTTGCGTACAGAGAAATAAACATTTTTCGAAAAAAAAATGCTTATAATTTATTTCTAAGGAAATTTTCCCCTGTTTTTCATTTGCAAATTTTAATGTTTTCCGAAGAATTGATCAAAAGAGAATATAAAATCGTATTTAATACAAAGATTTGGAAGACTTTTTTTAATTTTGAATTTTTGGTTAAAACGTTTTTCATTTTAAAATATTTATTATTCTATTATTTTAAAATGTCTAAACATAAACTAATAATAATAAAAACAAATTTAAATTTCGGAATATTTAATCAACATATTTTCTATTTCGACTAGCATTTTTCGAAGAAAAATGTTCACTTGTTTTTATTTGGAATTTTTTAGTTTTTGCAAAATTGATCTAAGTATAATTCAAGATTTAAAAGATATTTTTTTGAAATTTTGAACTTGCCAGTTTTTCTTCTAAATAGGCAAAATAATTAAGATTTTATTTTATTAACCAATTAATTTTTTTTTGCTGAGGGAATTCATAAAGATTTAAAAGACTTTTCTTGCACTAAAAACATATTCTCTTTTTATTATATTTTAGTTTGTTTTCCTCAAAAATCGAAAAGAAACTGTTTTTAATTATAATTCTGTTAATCAAATTACGAAATTTCTAATTTTTCTTCTAAAAATTATAAAAATTACAAAAAAATAACATATGTACGTATGGTTCTCTTCAGTCATTCTAAAAGAAAAATTAGAAAGCTTTCAAATTACGACTGATTTATAAAGAATTACATGTACATACTTTTTCTCCCAAAAACTAACAAATCCTTTTTTTTCGAACATATATAAGTTACTATTCCCTCAAGTTTTTGAGTGTAAATTATTTTCTAATAGCCCTATTCTTCAACAAAATTTGGCCATTTTCGAAAATTATTTTTCCTAAAATTGTTCCCGATTTTTTTCTAAACTCAAATAGCCTTCCATACATAAGCAAATAGAAATATAAAAAAAATTAATTATAAAAGTTAATATATTAAAAGCCAGTTTCACGAAACCAATTTGAGTGGAAAATAATTTTAATTTTTTTTTTTAATTTTTCATGGAAATTGAAAGAAAATAAAAAATCATTTTAAATTTAAATTGCTGGCGAAACCGGCTTTTATAATTTTGTATACAAATTTTAAATTTAAATATTTTTGATAGAAAGCTTCATACATCAAATTTGTAATTTTTAATAAATTTGTAGTCAACTACTTTCTTCAATAATGCTCCTCGTCTAATTTTCCAATATTTCCCTCCTTTCGAAATCGCATTAAAAATAATTTACTTAGAAAAAAATAAACCACCATATCAATCACTCTATCTTTCAATCCCTCACAGGGTGCCGTGACTCGTAAGTGACTTGTATGTGCCAACGCTTGACAAGTGTCAGCTGTCAGTGCGAACATTGCGCATCAAAAAGCGTGCTCCCACACAACTATTCGCACCAAGGCAGTCATTGAAGATAGCAGAAAAAATAA